AGGGCTATATGAGGGATAATTGTGGTCCAGCCGATTCCCTCAAAACATAGGAAGTTATCGTTGCAGAGTGAGGTCACGCGTTCATTTAAAGAAAGGACGTTTTAAACAGTTTTCGGCCAACCTCCTAAGCTGTTCCACGATGGCGTTTTCAATGCTTGTCTACAAATAGTAATGCTGTGTTCAAAACGAAATATCCAAACAATCCAGCAAGCTAAGACAATTCTTTCAATATGGGTGTGGAATTTGGGCGAGCTGGTGAGTACATCTGTGAAGTAGTGCTGCTTGGTGTCGTAATGTATTCATGACTCATCTTCATTGGTGATCGACCTAGGAAAGTCCCGTCCCTGCGGTAGCAAGAGACGACATCCGCAGATGATCAGAGGTGCTTCTCAGTCATATTCGGTTGGTGCATGACGTTTTTATCGAGACTTCACTCTGCTGCAGCCCACTTCACTCAGATGGCAAACGAGACTCATAGGCTGTGTCCTGGTGTCTGCAACAACCCTTGATAGTAGCGGTACGGATACATTCCCAACTCATAGCGCAAGAAATCCTCATCGAAACTGGCTGGAAGACAAGGTTAATCTCCATCTCGTATCGTCTTGCCATTCGACTGAGCCGCATGCGCCCATATGCCATATAGGGAACGTTTCCTAAAAGTGGAGATCTGGGATACCTTCCCAATTAGGCGCTGTCAGCTAATACTGCATATAATAACCGTGAAGAACATCACGTTCTAGTACCTGTCATGCAAAGAATTGTAGAATGCGATATTGAGTTCATACACCTGAAACTTTACAGCTTTACACGAACGTTTCTGATGACATTTTCTACTTTGTGGTTAAAAGAATGTCCACGGGAAGAAGTCTTTTCAACACTTCAGTGGGTCCGTGGACACTTTGAACAATTTTTTCTCTTTTACACAACTGCTTACTTATATTTCCTTTCAAGGTGGGTTAATATTCTCCGACAAGTTCATACAAATAGTCGCCATGCTGCCATCAGATAGAATGTATGGGTTGGGAGAACAAGTTCATCTCACTTTAAAGGTTCATCGACATATTATAAAGCCTATGAAGTAGATTTTGTTGTTTTGCTATATTCTTCGTTCAGCATGACTTTTCCGTTTATCGAACATGGCCAATGTATGCAAGGGATGAATTTCCTTTCACCGAATATGTGGACACAAAAAATCTTTACGGTACTGTTTCCTTGAACAATTTCATACATTTTTTCGAGAATTACTCGTTAAAACGACCCTGGCCCCAACCTCGGACGACATTGCGACTGTACACAGTCCAGTGGAACAAAGCTGGAACAAGCGACAAAAACACCCTACTCTGAGCTCTAACGCTACTCAGGCACAAGCTGCGGTGCTATCCGACTATTCGTGTCTTTTTACTATGGTTTTACTTGGTTTTGGTCGCGTTTTTCAGCAGGAAATGTTTTCCGGCATATAAGTCGCTTTTCTCGGTAGTTTCTGGACGGTTAGCGCCGTTAAGTGCTTGTGAAAGTGGTTCCAAGCTCCAAGTGACTTTATTGGTGAGCAAAAGTAATGCTTCATATGAAAAAAGCTTTACGGGAGATGCTGTTCTAAAGTTAAATTTGACCGATTGAAATGCACCGACTGTGCGCCAATTACGCGGCGCGCGCCAGCGCATGTGTTGGCACTCTTCGCAGTATCCACACTGACCGCACCGACTGCACTGTGCGCAGTGTCTGTGCCGCCGCATAGTAAAAAAGCGGTCAAAGCTAAGGCGGTGAGTTTGCAAGCCGACGTGAAACAAGTTACCAGCTGGATTCTTTTTTGCTGCTATTTCCCCTCTTATAGTGTGTAACCCAGTAAACAAATAAAGAAAATCTAATTTCTCAGGAGTTCACCCTTTCTACATGATCCTGGAACCAGACGGAAAAGCGCATGGTGTACTTATCTTCAATTCTAATGCACAGGTTCGTGAAATTTTCTCAGACTGGCATGAAATAGAGAAAGAACTGAAAAAATTCGTATTTGCAGGAAGTGACAACAGCGCCAGGTCCAGCGCTGATTTATAGAACGACAGGAGGGAATCTGGATCTGTACTTCTTCCCTGGACCATCTCCTGGAGAAGTTACCCAGCAATATTTAGCCTTTATTGGAAGACCCGTCCTTCCGGCCTACTGGGGGTTAGGATTCCAGGTAAGGCCATTGAAGGATCTACGACATATAAGTGCTACTGGTCTGGTGGTATTCAAAAGACTGTTAACAAAATAGGAATATTGTCTTTTGTTTGTTGGGACTGAACTGAGTCTAATTTGATCTATTGTGAGAGAGCTAGAGAAGTTAAACTCACAACCAGTTGCGATAAAGTGAAGGAAGGTATAAATGCTTGGTGTTGGCACGGGAAGTAGAACAGAAATCGAAGAAATTCCAGTTTCCAGAAAAGTTCCGAAGCTATCTTCCACGTTGAAAATTCCATCTTTAAGGATGTGAATGAAAAGGATTACTTAGGCTTTGTTCCTCCCGTACTGAAGCACATCGGGCGACGAATTCTTTCCACTGTTGCCGGTCTTGTGCAATCATTTCTCCTTCATTCCTAGAAACATTCATGATCTTGAAATCATTCTCGAATGTTCGTCTCCACGTGTTTCTGGGACGGCCTCTTCCTCGCTTGGCGCCTGGAAGTATCCAATTCATGGTACAAAGCTACGCCGTTGTTGGTTCTAAGCCAGGATGAGAAAGGAAAGGGTTGGTGCGAAGGGCTAGCAACCCTTCCGCCGTAAAAAAACCCCAAAGCTAAAGAAACGACGAAAAAGCATATATCTGTTGCATCGAGGGAACCTAACGTCCGCCTTATGACGGATAACCTCCCGATTCGGAGTTCGATCTTCTCACCTAAAAATAAAACATTCATTGCTTCTCGGAACGTGCGCACGTTGAACCAGACTGGAAGCATGATGCTTACTGAAATGATAGAGGCTACCAACATAACATGTGCAAACGACCTCCTAATTGGTTGCTAGCTCGTCCATTATCGGAGGTCAACGGGCAAAGAAAGGGGTCCCATTTTGCGCCTTCTTGACGGATTTCTTTGCTTTTTTCGCCACTGGAGGCATTATTCAGCATCTCCACTTCCACTATGAACCCAGTCCAACCTTATCGTAATCCTCGTTTCGAAACAAGAAAAAAGTTTAGCATGTTCACCCCTCAACAGAAGTAATCCCAGATGAAGGGCTTACTAATGGGGCGCACGCTGTAAAAGAGACACATGATACCGGAAGTTTGCGCACACCTCTTAAGACACTAACTTTAACCTGTTAGGCAAAATAATTGTTTTAGATCTCGCGTTGGGGTTATAAAGATTTCGACGAACTGAAGAAAGTTATCTCAAGGATATCGGATGCTGGTACTTCCTCTAACGAAGTAAGTAGTCTTGTGACATTGAAACTATATGGACAGGTACAAAAGACTTGTACAGTCAATCCCCAGTGAGTTTCAATTTTCTGACGAATTGAGGACCTGTTCTGTGTTGCTCCCCCCTAATCAATTGAAGATTTAATGGCAGTGGTGTTTGCGGGTCCCTCCTTGTGAGCAATGTAAATATTCTGAAATTTGAGTTTTCATCACCTAAAGGCATACGCATCATTAGGAAAATTACATGCTGTAAATGAGCTGATGTAGAGCAAAGGCCGTAGACAGTGCGATAATATCCGTCGCTAGTCACGAGATGCCCTTCAAACGTTAGTGAACCTTATTAGCTCACGACTGATTGTGAGTCGACCGCCTCCAGAAAGAGCTCTGTCTTGAAAATTTTCCTCTCCGACTGACGACAGTAGCTGAAAGCTCACACATTAAAGCCAGCACACCATTTTGTGCAGTTTCAGAGTTTTTCACGCGTAATATTAATACGTTCATGTAAATATTCTGAGATAGAACCAAATAGAAACAAAGAAAAATTCTATCTAAAGCTTTTCAGTCTAGAAGGGCATACCACAAGATGTGTTTTCAGAAGTGGAAGGGTATACCAGAATATGTGGAAATGCTACATAGCAAGGGCATGCGAACAATCTTTTTATTTGATCCTGCAATTCAAGTGAGCTACGATTCCTTCGAAAGAGCAATGGAAATGGTCAGTGAGTTCGAGGGAATCATAAATTCCTTCCTGTCTATGAGAATATAGTTTCCTAGCTTTACATGCAATATGTAAAATATCCGATTGGGAGTTACGACCTTGCTTTAATCGCTTACAGTATGAGTCTAGAAAAATGTTGAAAGTCTGGTTGAACTAATTTTAATATCTTCCAGAATGCTCGTTTCATAGAATGGGAGCGTCACGATCAAGTGATGCGCGAAATCCAAGTGAGTGTCCTCTGTGAACGACAAGCTGCAATGTTCTGCTGACCCAAGCCGTATGCGGGATTCATAAAGACGTTCTGTACTGCGTCTCTGTACTCTGTATGAGGCTTGAATTTGCGTTTGCGAGTTCGCTCCTTTGGACCAATGCAAGTGAATCCACCGAGAAAGATAGAGACAAAAAATGGCCCACATTTTGCAGTTCATTTCGAAAACGTGCGAAGGCAATAAGGATAAACTAAATGCTTAGATGAACTCTCCACCTCATGCGTAATCAAATTCAGTGACATAATCTGTTTTTTCTTGAACTCTTTTTTTCATCACCAGATTGGTCCCCCGTCGACCCCGGAACCTCGAGGAGTCTTCCACTGTGGCCCCTTCCACCTGGCACCAACACCTTGACGCGCGTGCAGTAGGAGGCACAGCTCGGACAGTTTGGACAACAGGAGGAAATAAAATTAATTAGACCATGATATTTCTGACATATACATATTACAGGATCAATACCCTCTTGTGAAAAACACAAAAATTATGCTCGGTGTTGTTTGGCCGGACGAACACATAGCTTATCCGGATTTCTTCGACCATACAAACTCTACACAGAAGTGGTGGATTGAAGAGATGATTAGGTTCCACAAGAAGGTGATCAGATTCCTGTGTCCGATATTCTTTCAACAATTTTCCATCTTGGCCACATGCAATGGCTGTATCGGGTAGAAAACTGCAAAAATAAAAATGGAAGTATCCGAACATTTTATAGTCAGTGAATTCCTACCGCCGTTTTCTGTTTCAAGGTTATTATCACTGCTATCATCACAGGGGAAGAGGAAATTACGGGAATTGAGATAAATTTCGAATCTATTGAATGGCTGATCAGTTTGAATCCTAATCGCAAAGAATAATTCAAGACTCGATGAGAAACAACTTTATTTATTTAACTTTGCCCCAACAATTTGGAGAAGAGCTTCAAGTCCCTTGGAGGAGTAATCGACCGTTGTACGCAAGTAGGTGTCATCAAATTCGTCTCAGCCCTTCAAGAAGAGATTGTCGAAATTCTGTATAAGCGACTTGTTCAAATTCGGATCTCAGCACGTCAAACAGCAAGCACATTCGAAACGTTCCAGGGGGAAGCGGCTCGTTGAACTCGGCTAGGTCCCAAAACACTTGCATGAAGTTTCACGACCTGATGACTAGGGGCTCGTCCTTGTTAAAAGGCTGATTGGTGTCGAAAGAGTTTCAGAAATCAATAAAGTAAGTTTTCTTTGCAGTTTGACGTCAACCACCGACATTCAGCTACATCGCTGGTTGAGCCGTTTCGATTGCTGTGAGAGCTTTCCGTATCCTCCCCAAGTCCAGACTCTTCCAGTGACGGCACTGGGCTTCTCACACTTGGCCCATGCGTTAGGACTTCTTGATCCTCTGTACCTTCGAATAGTGCCATACACTGCGATTTTGTTCTCCTGAAAACTTTTGGAAGTCTTTGGAAGTTGCGTGCCAAAACGCATTTGACTCAACGGGTAGCGACAATTTCACCATTCATGGCGATCAGGCCATTTAGGTGTTTACAGCCCAGAAGTCGAAAAACGCAGCAGCATACAACAACTATTATAGTATAAGCGAAAAAGAAAACTCGGAAAAATTGAAATGCTTTCAGGAGCGCTCCCAGTTTCCATAATTTTCGTCCAACCGATTTTACCACTACTACAGACCATTACTTCAGATCATTACTTATTTACAGGCTGCGCCAGAAGAGCGGCAACGTTTTCGAGTTCCCTTAAATGAAGCACGCCTACAATTCCAAGAAACCAAAAATGCAGTAACGTTCACTGTTCAATAATGAATCGTAAACATCTGCCAAATCTCAGAAATTCCTTGGTTGGCACTTATACGGGCCTTGAGAAGCAGTCGAGGAACCATCGACTGTGGCACGCAATGTGGTGTGTGTGACTCATCCTACTCCTTCTAGAGCGATTAGAGCGACAATGAATCCGCAGAGATGTAAAGCATCGTGCAAGCCTTGGCCTCCAGAATCGATCCCACATTATAATCGATCAAAATCAAATCTGTAGTGCTGAGGTGCCACACGTTGAAGTCGACAAAATGGATTTTGCACTGATTCTGCACCACCCTTGCCTTGTGAATGAGAGCGCTTTCTTATGGCAGGTCCGCAACGATTTTCGAAGGGAAGAAAAGCCTAGGCCAGCATTTCGGTAATTGATAAGCCTTCCATCTCTCTGACATTCGACGGACTGAGCGCGCCGAGTACCTGCAAATCCTATGGCGTACCTTGCTTAGGTTGCTCGTGGTGGCTGCCACAACTGTAATTCAGTTCCCTGTCGCTGATCCATCAGGTGGATCTGTCAGTAGTACTCGGATGCACACCACGAACGTTGATAATTTTCGCGTACCAAAACTCTCGATTTTGAAGTTCAAGGATCTAGAAACGTTGAAGTACATATAACTAAGGCTTCGTAGCAATCATATATTTTGGTGGTTAAACAAGATAGGTAAAAACATATCCACAAAAGAACCAAAACTAGGACAGAAAAACAGCACTATCGGATCTTCAAATTAAATGAGCATGTGTTATCGCTATAATTTTGGCGCAGCTTTTACAATGAGAACTCACAGCTTCACACTTGAACTGATGAGCGTAAGCCTGGTCATTTTACCTCGAATAAATTCATATGGAAAAAAAAGGTTGGGGCATGTGGCCTAATAAGAAAGAAAACGTTCATTTGACTTTCGAGATCCACATCCCGCGGCAGTCCTATGGAAACCTGGTTTATATTTCGAAATCGGCACAACATGACGGCTGAACCCTTTCTAGGTGCTAACCCAAAACTGAAGCTCCCTCTTCATAGTGGATCAAATGGAACAGTCCTTCAGGGCGTCCCAATGAAAGTTCTCCATCAGGTTTCCTGCACTTCCAGAGCCACCTAGGAAAACCAAAAACTGCCCATGTTAGCTTTAATCCAACCCTTGCCAGTCATATCCTATATTCGTAACGCGAAAACAGGTGCAGCGCTGGATACCCTCGTCAACTTATGATCTGCATTAAAATCTACAAATGCCTCGGCAACACCACAACTATATATATTTTTTAGAGTAGGAATTCTGTCACATGGAACACCAATACAAATAAAAAATCTTTTTCTCATAGACATCACTGGTAGCTCTTTATAGGTACCGTTCGATGGCATTTGGATAGATATGAATGAACCATCCAGCTTTGGTACCAATGAAGAAGAACCGTGGTATTTCGACAACGAAGATCATCCTAATATAGCGCCACTTAAATGTCCAACGAACAGCACAGAAAGCGAGTGGGACAAACCTCCCTATGAAACGCATGCGGTCTACAATTTCGAAGCGGTAAGCTACAGTAGCACGAAAAACCTCTAGGAAGTAACTACAGTCTTCACCATAACAATTTTCAGGGGCAGACATTAGCTACAAAGACACTCTGCTTGCTAGCTGTGCAAGCAGATAGCAAAGAGAGGTTCTATAATTTGAAAAGCCTCTACGGCTGGAGTCACGCAAGATCGAAACTCTACTGCCAGCAATGGCTGCAACTGGGAGTGAGGAGATCGTCATCTCTCGGTCATGGAGGGCTGGTCAATTGCTGTCGTGTCGTCCTCATTCCCGGCACTGCTTTAAATAGCATCGGCTGCTGGTGCTTAGAGTTTGAGAAGAAAGTCGAGTTGGGACATCAGTCAGCAAAGAATAATTGTTGCTCTCCAGCTCGACTTTTGTATCAGCTGGTCGTTTTACTGGACACTGGCTTGGCGACAACACTGCTTCATGGACTGACCTCCAACATGCAATCATCGGAGCGCAGGAATTCAACATGTTCGGCATTCCGTGAGTAGCGGCATTTAATAATGTTTACCTCGCAGGAAATCACAGTTTTATTTCTCTTTATGACCTTTGATCACCTCTTTGCTTTTTTTCTTCAATTATCCGAACGTAACGAAATTTGGAATGATTCGAACATAAAGTTTCGAAAACAACGTCCACAGAGCTGCTTGCAAAAACGAGAAATTTCGAAAAATTTACAGATTGGCATTTCGACGCAATGTAAAATATTTTCTCAGAGCTACATCTCATGGTTTCATATATTAGCTACTATGGTATGAGAAAAAGGAAGGTTTCCTTGTCGAAAACAAATGAAGCATCGCTAAAAAATGGAAAGCCACAATGAGGAATGATTTGGACGGGCGCCAACTCGTCAGATCCGCCTCTCGTCGGATTCGCCCACTTACAAGCCGTGGAGATTAGCGATTGGCTCCTTTTGTAATTGAGTGTAAACTGTAACGCAAAAATGGAAGCTGCCAGGCCTTTGATCGGGTACTGATGCTCTAATCGTTTGATTATCGTATTTTTTTTATTTGGGAGCGCTGTTGAACATTGGAGCGCATTGAACGCGCATTTAAACCGCAGCGCGGGTACAGACGTCCTCTGGACGATACTACCGTCCTTTAGGCCGATGTCATAGTTTGCGAATCGAGCGATTCGCTAGCGAATCGCTGGATCCGAGCGTTGCACCAGCGAATCGAATGCACCAGCGAGTCGAACTATGTACCAGCGACTCAATAGTGGCGGGACCCAACGTTCAAAGGAAGCCCGCCACTTTCAAACAGTGTCACGTGACAGTGGACACTGTTTGAAAGTGGCGGGCTTCCTTTGAACGTTGGGTCCCGCCACTATTGAGTCGCTGGTACATAGTTCGACTCGCTGGTACATAGTTCGACTCGCTGGTGCAAAGTTCGATTCGCTGGTGCAACGTTCGATTCGCTGGCACATTCGATGCTCGGATCGATTCGCTCGCTAGCGAATCGCTCGATTCGCAAACTATGACATCGGCCTTAAGCCTGTAGCGTATTCAGCAACAAGTATCCGTGACTATCTTTAGGTAGCCTTTCAAGATCTCTATGAGTCGCATCGCGTTCGCCCTAGAGGAGAGGCAAAAGTGTCGGCCCTTACTTCCACTGGCCGCTGTCGCTCCACCACAACCTTGCATTTTCTACAGCGTAGGAACTCCGTAGAGTTGAAGCCCATTTTTTCGTCATGGTTCTCGTAGTGAAGTGCGCAGAGAAGACGACTAGTGGGCACGTTGAAACTAAGTCGATAATATAGGGCACTGCGCGCCCCACCATGAACGTGATTACTTTGGAACCACAATTCACATGTCCGCATAAATCGTTTCTAGTAAGTGTATGCAAAGCTAACCCAGCAGACCTACCGATAATGCGGATTTGTCGCTACGTGATTGTAACCGTAAGGATCTTCCAACGTAACAGTACTGACCTTCGACAAGATAAACTATAATTCACCTCTTTATTTACGGCTCACAATAGGTACGTTGGATCGGACATCTGCGGATTTATAGACCATCCAACAGAAGAGCTCTGCCTAAGATGGCAACAAATGGGCGCATTCCACCCTTTTATGAGGTGGGTGAAATCAATTTTCTTGTCACGTATCTCTCTATTCCATTAGACCCAACATCCATCAATTCATCTGCCTACCGAAGGCTGCACGGTCAAAAAAAAATCCTCTACGCATTCAACAACCATATTTCACTTATAAGAAGAGGGTCTAATAATTTAACCGCATAAGCGACTCCCAGTGTATTTTGGCGTTTATGTAGGCTTATGCGAACAGCCAGGGTTAAGACGGGGCTAAAGTAGGTGTCCTTGTCTCATCATCCAAAAGAAAATTTCTGTTGACAACAATTTCGTAACCCGCCTTTTCGCTTTAAAACCAAGTGCAAAGAATGAATGAAAGCTGCAGGTGAAATCATGGAAAAATGCGGAACAACAACCCCTGAGCTAACGATGTGGCTATATTTAGGGGAAAGGGGTTCTTGGGACGAGTGAACCATCTGTAAGCCATCCATCAAATAGTAAGCTTATGAAATAGAAAAATGGAAAACATTACGAGGCGGGATACGAATCACTGGCATTAACCTGCAGGGTGAAAATCGTGTCGAGTACGTGGTCGCAGAGGTACGACCCCCCCCCCGAAATCGAGATCCTGGCACGACCCCCTCTAACAGAGCAAATTAATTCAATTAAAATAAATCCTGCAAAACAAATCAAAAAAATTCTGCAAAATAATGCTAAGGACGCTTCATCTTGTCATCTATGCACGTCTTCCATCGCTGCATACTTTTGTGTACATACTGAAATATCGACTCGAGGAAAGAGGCATTAACTTTGTGTGACCTCAAGGCGAGGTTCGTTCAGAAACGCACAGAAATCCTGAAGACACGGGGTTGCGATTCAATCTTGATTCTTGCTTGAGTATATCAAAACAGCCGAGTGTATCAAAGGCCGATTCAACGGCAGCTGCGGCGCGATTGTCACTGGGTCAGATTTGCCGAAATTTCAAAAAAAAACGTCCGAATCTACACCCTCGATGAAAAGGTTGCATTCCTCCATTTCACAACCTTTGAAGCAGCTTGAGGTAGAGTTAGATAGAGCTGGATTTCGCGTTTCCAACAAGCATCGAAATTGCTCTGGAAGCCTTCCTTGCAGAAAGATAGGGTCTGTCAAATTTCGTCGAGTAAATGTCGAGGAGGCCCAAATTTTCACGCGAGTTTTTGCCACTTCAAGAGCAATATATCTCTTATATTGTAAGATCCTGAAAAAGGGAAGGTAGTTTTGGAAAGCGGAAGGTTTGCGCTTCCTGATGGTCTGTTTAGTTTTCTTCTACAGCTTTTTGGTTGAAGAGATAATTGCGTCGAGGATCTATCGAGGTCGGATCCGGCCACCTGGAAACCCGCTCCCTCATTCACCATTGCAAGTGTGACTCGTTGGCAACACTTTCGTATTTGATTTTTTTTTTTTTTTTTTTTTTGTTTTTTTGTTTGTTCGTAATGTTCTTCTAGAACTATTACCTCGAACTTGTTCATAACTATCCTATATTTATTTAGTTTAGTTCTAATTCTGTATCTATTTTCCTGTTTGGTTATTTTTTTGTATATTTTTTTTAGCAGGCATCCCTCCTTCCCATCTTCACAGTTTCTATTATAGCGATTGAAAGTTTATATTTAGTGGTTGACCTGTTTTCGTAAGACGTATATACTGTTCTTCTTATTTTTAGACATAGGTTTTGTTGCGTCTATTTTTCTTGTTATATATTCTATAAAATTATTTCGACTTTTCTTATTTTCTTCTTCAGCCGCTTTTTCTTCACCGGTTGTCGTTTTCCGACCAGTTGTCCTAACATACTACGTCTATTCTCCTATCGAGTATTTCAGGAGAAGCCGACGGTATAGCGAAGGTGCCTTTAGCCGCGCTGTCGCACATGTGTCACTCTTTTTGCGGTGCACTCATTCGTTATCTGCTTCAAATACGCCTTCTTCCATCTCATGAAATGGAGGAATGGACGCGACTGAACCTGCGCAAAAAATTTAATATCATGTTTTTTTTTTCGGATGTTTTCATTTTCTGCTGCGCTATACCCTATTACCTATCTGCACCATGATACCACTTCTGTTACTGACCCCCAAGAGTACGACCCCCCATGGACCAGCCCAACAGGTACGACCCCCCTGTCGAGGATTTCCTCGACCGATATTCACCCTGCCTTGACTTTCTTACTCCAACAGCATGTTCAGAGATCAACGAAAGAGTATTGTGCTACACTGAATAGGTCTTTGACAGAAACTGTCTTGAAAAAGCTTGGCTTGTCCTGAAAGAACCCCCTTGCAAGAGTTGGTCGCAGATCCTGTTATCCGGATTTTTAAAGTTCTTAGTAAAAAAAAATTGCAGGAATCACAACATACAACATGCCCCAGCACAAGATCAAGGAAAAAAACAATCCCCCTTGCCCCCTTGGTCTGCCAAGCGTAGTGGCTGCAACTCCAGCCACCCTCTTTCGATACAAATACCTACCTTATTTGTTCAGGTAAGCCAAAGCTTGTTGTCTAACAACTCAAAATTTTCGTCATTGTTGCCATGGACATTGCAACAGTTGTCATAATTATTCATTTCATCATCAAAGAGCCCTCATTCAGCTTACATTTTCTTGCATCCATGAAAGGAACGACTGTTATACGTCCACTGTTCTACGAGTATCCTGATGATGAGCAAACGCACAAACTTGGGCCATCAGTTTCTTATGGGGGAGTTCGATGCTCATCACGCCCCTGTAGTCCAAGAAGTGGGTCTCTAATAAATTATTATGTTTTATTTTTAGGAAATAATTCAGTTTATTTGATATATGTATAGACACACCTACGCGATATAGAAGTGCAAATGCCCTTCAAATGTCGAAGGATGGCACTGAGCCAGGGGAAAGTCGTCGAGGTTCCACTCGCGACCTGAGTTGTCGAAAATTGTCGACGAACCCTCCGTGACGCGAAAAATAAATTATCAGATAAAGAGACCGCAGATAACAGGGCAGTGGGTGGGTGTGGTTTCTTAAAGCCACAAATTTGAATTAGTGTTACGTGGTCATACTTCTTAGAGTGAGGAAAAGGGCTTCCCAAACTCCTTAGCAACTCAAAGTACGCAGCAAAACTTAAAGGAATCTTGCGCGGAAAATTCTTGCACTCTTTCCTAACATGAATATGTCAGTTGTGATCACTGGAAATAGCACACAAAGTTTCACGCATGAAGATTCGGTTTCTGAAGAGAAACAAACGTACAAAAACTACACGTTATGGACCATCGAAGGACCAGGAGGCAGAGCCAGGCGAGGCATGGAAAGAAGACGGCGTTTGGCCGGCTACGTACCAGGCGACGCAATGAGAGAATCGGGTTAAAGCGCGCGATTTCGGAGAGTGGAGACAAATCGATCGATGGAATAGGATGGAGTAGAAGTGTAAGATGTGAATGCAACGAAGCAGAAGGCCAGAAAGAGCTTCTAGTGAATGCACTCCAAGAACCAAGTTTGAGCATCCCCGTCGCCAGCATTCGTGAAAGACGTCCGTGGGCAATTCGAACGCGTAGCAGCCTTTTCGAGTTTTCGAATTTCTAATCAAAACGAAAGCAATACTTCAGTTCTTTTCACTATTATCGTGGATAATGAGTCTCAAGCCAGTGATTTATGGCTGAAATAGAATCATGATTTTTCCGCGCAAGATTCCTTTAAGGCTTGTCTCAGTTGTCCAGCGCTGCCACTCTTACCAATCTTCATACGTGGCGTCTGCGCCCTATCGCGTACAGCGTGCTCTCTTGTATTTCCTTCGTTTCTCGCAGCGCTGCTTTCTTACCCTACATTTGATGACGACGAAGATAATGAAGTCTGACAAACACTGTCCAATGGTTCCACGTTATGATCAAGGTGGTCAGACTTTGCGAATCGCAGCGAACACGGATTGGCGCGGTACAACTCATGCAGCAATGTGGGTAGCGAGGAACCCCCATGCCTACAGTTTGAACTTGCTAGTAGCACGTCCTGTAGTTGGGGGCTGCTCGCTGTGTTGCTCGCCAAACCTTTCGGTGCCACGCGGTATATCTTGCCGGAACGAACAGAACACCTCCAACTTATTCTTTTATGTCAAGTGTAAGTATATGAGCAACAAACAACGACAAATATCGGAGTTGCTATAACTTGACACACAACCTACAACTTGACACAATCTAGGATACTTGCCCAATCTACCCAACTTGTCGAGAACCCTAAGAACTTGCAATCGATGAGACGAGGAAAAAAGGAAAGTTGGGAAAGCTAGCGCCGAGCTAGCTCTGGGGCAGCTCCTCTCTGGAGACGACGGCAGAAAATGCACACTGAGCCTTGATGTTTTGATAAGCGCTTTTATACGCACTTATCGATGTTTTATGGAGATAAGTGCCTCGTCGCGAGCTTTCCCATGGCTTTGGTATGCGCGACTTTCCAAAACATTCGTTCTAGCTACAGTATCACTCATTGCAAAGAAAAAAAGAGTCGTGATCTCCACGACATTCCCCAGGGCCAAATCATTGGTCTTCTTCCATTCGCTTCAGAGTTCGAATGTGCCATCTCCAGACGTTCTCGCATCCTTCCTTTGGCACCTGGAATAGGACATAAGGCACGATGATGCCCCCCATCGTCAGGTATTAGATCCTCGAACGGTGTCCCATCTGACCCGGGAGCAGTACCAGCACCAATTTTTCCCCTTACAAACAGAATGTTTGCAATCCTTCAGACACAAGCGGCATAGATCATGATCTACAATGATACGTTCGCGTATAGATGAATTTGTTACAACCGGGCAAGAATCAGAATAATGAGCATGAGGAGCTCCACAAAATGCACAATCTATGTCTGGATCTATACCCTCCGAACGAGCAGTGATAAACCGGTACGGGAATTCTTCTAGTGCAATTTCCATAGAGTCGATGAGATAACGCTGAGCTTCGCGGTCTCTTCGCACCAAACTTGCGCTTACCACTTGGCTCGGCTCCACCAGTATTCTGAAAAGAAACCGTAATCTCACCATCATCGCTGGTTTCTCTGATTAATCTATCTAAGTAATCATTATCAGAAATTTCCATTTCCTCTAGTGG